ACACACTCACACACTCACACACTCACACACTCACACACTCACACACTCACACACTCACACACTCACACACTCACTCACTCACTCACTCACTCACTCACTCACTCACTCACTCACTCACTCACTCACTCACTCACTCACACACTCACTCACTCACACACTCACACACTCATACACTCACACACTCACACACTCATACACTCACTCACTCACTCACTCACTCACTCACTCACTCACTCACTCACTCACTCACTCACTCACCCACTCACTCTTACTGATGGTATTCAGTCATTATTAAATCATTATGGCAACTTTTTATATCTCTATTATAAGAATCAAATGTGAGATTTTTAATGACTTCCTTGTAATTTACTACATCATTAAATGTGGACATATGTTTAAAGGCGTTGAGAGTTTATCGTTCTGCATGGGTAAGTAAGTTATGTACACACAGGCTTGGCGGAGTTAAGGCTATGAATGTCTGCATTATGCTTCCTGATAATCCCCATGCTAATCCTATTTCCCTCTCCTTGAAGCATTTTTTTTTTTATGTTTCTTTTTATTCTTTTGTTTAAATTTCATCTCTTTTTTTTGTCTTGTATTTCTAGTCATTTTTCAAATCGGGTCATTACAAGCTTTAAAAAAAAAATAAATGCTAATAAGAACAAGCTGAAATGCCTATCATTAATAAATCAAGATACCTCCCCAAAATGTTGAGCTTAATTTGACTATAGCAACTAGTCCGGCAAAGTTTTTTTTTTTCAATACTGACTTTTATATGTGTGTAAGCCTGTTTGGTGTATTTGTGATAATGCCTGTATCCCTCTCCTTAACCATTAATTGACCTACAGACTATATCTAGTCACTTAGATGAGGATATAGAGGATGCTGGGCAAACTGTACTAATATTCCCATAAGATCCAGGAGAAAGTACTGCTATGTTTTTCAAGTATTATAATACAGATTATGATATACAGATTATAGAAATATTTCTCACTTCTTTGAGTGAACTGAATTAGAATGGACAGAAATGTTTAGTGAATTAATGAGGTACTTCTGCATCAGATATTTTGGTGGTACACCCTTTAAGAGTGAAAAACACTTTTTGTACAGAGTATATATATACACATATCACTGCAAAAATATTAGAACTACTAAATTCCCTTATTTACTGACCTGTGACAACAAAAAATTACTAGAATAATGTCATCATCATATTCTTCTTATGGCTCTCTTATGATATTTTTACTTTAAAGAGCTTTCTTAAAAAAAAAAAGTGAAGTAGTTTTACATGAGTGATTATATCATCTTACTGTAATTTGCCAGAGGAGCTTAAGAATAGGTACCACATCAACACTGTCAGCTGTTCTTCTACGATTCATTACTTAAATACAAATCAACTAAGCTAATTTTCAATATTCCCCAACATTTTTAATCCTTTACAATTGGATGACGGGAGAAACATCGCGTGTAGAAAAGAGACACCTCTTCAAAATTTGAGTTAATCATAGGCCACTCTCTCTGAACGTTGGTTGTTTATTTTCTCGTCATTTCTTACTTATTTTCATTAATCTCCACTTTGTCTTTGAGTTTTTCTCTTTCATTCCATGGATCTTCTACCTTCCTTTCAATGAGCCTCCTCCCTTTAATAATCGCATCTGAGTAAAAACAAATTGGTACATTTTGACTCACAAACTGACCACTGATACCATCAGTGATAATCAAAAATAGATACATATTTATACTGACCTCTCTTGTCTATATGGAGAATAAGGATATCATGATAATGGGGGAAAAAAAATAAAAAATAAAAATAAAATAACCTATCCTTATAAATCTTATACAATTAACTCTTATCAAAGCATTCTCTCAACTGTCAGTCAAAATTCTGAAGTAAAGAAAATAAAGATATTTTAAATCCACAACTAAAAATACTATTTACAATGATATACTCTATTCCATCCCCCGATACGTAACATGACTAACTAAGACTTTTTTTCTAATTTCAAATACTTATCTTACATTTATCTAGATTCCTTTTAAGTCCTTTTATTGTATGAATTCTGATAAGCAATAATCAAATATCTATAATATGGCAAAGTAAAAAAAAATATACCGTAGTTGCCAACTAGGGTTAAATATTTCTAAAATGCTAAATTCTGCCTCCCAATCTCCCCCACTGAGAAAAGGTCTAAAAATAAATGCTAAAACTCTACTGTTAACCAATGCCTTTCACACTGGCCTATATCTTAAAACTGAAAAAGAATATTTAAAGACCTAAGAGAGAATGACTAATGCAGGGAAAGGTCTGATAAGATTCAGGAAGAGATTTGTTTTTAATGGAAAAATAACAATTCACTGGATAAAAAGAAAAAAAAAATAATCAGATAAAATAAATCCCAATTGAAAAACACAAAGGAAGAAGATGATGAGAAAGAGAAATAATTCTCATGGTATGTAACAAGGGAATGAACATGCGAGATACATAGGTAATTTATACTTAGATTATAGAAAGCAGACAAAAAATTTTGAAAAAGGAAAAATTTCTTACAATATCCCGCAAGAATGTTTATAAAACATTTGCAATGGTTTTCAATACTGGAGTTTTCTTTAGTATAGTTTACAAGTATGACAATATAAACAGTACAAGGACTCAACCAATTCATAAAATCTAAGATGCTTTTCATTTACAAAATATTCTGCACATATTGAAGATAATAATTCTTAAGAAAGGAAAAAATTATTATAAAGGAATACGAAACTAGAGGTACCCATCTCAACCTTCATTCCTCAGTTAAACAATCAATAAATGAATTGTCATTCAAACTGATTTGCAATTAGAAAAAGAGCCATAAAAAAAAAAAATTTCCTGGACATTCAATTCATCAATACAAAATAACCAACAATGGAAACTAAACTATAACGGATTTACCAAGCATAAAGAAAGGACAGTTTCATTATGACTTTTGTTCAGGGCATGGTCTTATTCGACAAATCAAGGCAGATATGAGCCAGTTCTTATATTTTAAAATACATGTATGTAATTATAATATTATTTCCATTTCAGAATACACCCAGGAGTTTACTAGTACGTGGCATCCTGTCAGAATATACAGGCAGGACTTTTTAGAGTATAACACTATATGACAGAGAGGTGCAGAAGTAACTGCAAAGGCTGTGCACATTGTATGAAATGTGGACGAATATAAAATAACATACTTTACAATTTTAATTTACATTATGCACAAATCACTGGCATTTTACACAATTTGTCTCTACCTCTAGCCAAGGCAATACAAGCAGTTTGGTAATTTTAAAGAATCATTCCGCCTGATGGATTGTGATGATTTTGTTATCGATGGATTCCTCTCACTCTCCACTATCCAAATATAAAGATTCTATTTTGCAGAACTGCCCCCCCCCTCCCCATTAACAACAATCTTGGCCTCAATAACAGGGGAGGGGATGAAAGGTTCCAGGGGAATTAATGAGTAAAATATGAATAATATATACAGAATCAGTCACTATATTGTCTAATGAAGAGGGCTCTGCCCCTAGTAACCCCCCATGGGGGACTCCTGTCCCCTATCCCTTGATGGTGAGTCTGTACGACACTCTCTTCTGCTGTGAATATATGGAGGATTCTGTTTTCTTGGACTGGGGTTGGGAGGTGGCAGCCCGCATGGGGTGGGGGGTTGCAGGGGGGATAGCTCCCTGCATTAGACAATAAGGTACCTGATTTTGTGTATATTACTTATATTTTGCCCCACAATTTCCCTGATACCTTTCAACCCCAACCCTGCTATCAAGGCCTAGAATGTGGGCATTTGGAGGGTTTCTGCACAAGAATTTCTATGAGACAGGCAAACAGACTCATTACCCAACACTCGAATTCGGGAACAAACGCGGAAGTGAGGTCCTTAATCTTGAAAAACTAATTCTGTACTCTCTTGCCATGCCATATTCGCCAATTCTGACCAATCCATACTATTCACTCAACCTCCAACCAAGTTGTTATGAGAAGAGGATTATGCTGACTGAGAGATTGGACCACCTGGAAAATTTTATTGCTACTGCCAGCCTTTGGTTAAAAAAAACACTTGCGTGCCCTTGGCTTTAACTAACTCTGACACTAAAGGTTTGCAAAGCAAAAAGAATATCATATTCAATATACTCATATCAACCTAAATGAGATTTTAAGAAGCTCATCAATGAGTCACAATACCAAAACGAGAAAAAAAAAAATTGACCCTTCTCCTCGTACTTGCACAGGTTTTCTTTTCCCAAACCAAAATAAAATTACTACGATCTGTGAATGGTGGCCTACAAACTCCATCAAATTAAGGATGACAGTAGAGTACTGTCAAAGCAACTACCAAAACACCTGCACAACGCACTATAGAACTCAGACCAACTCCTCATTTAGCAATATATCATTAGAGAGTTCTGCATATTCGCCCCTGGCCGCACTATACATTGCGGAGGTCTGCTGGCCCTCGTTCACCCACCAGCAGGTACAAGGCCAATGACAGATCATCAAGTGTCTTCAAAACATTTCCCAAAGAAAGAAAGAGACAAATATCCCTAAAAATATTCACCACAAAAAGAAAATGTATAAAGAGCGAGAAAACCTTTGCGACAAGTAGCAACGAGAAAGGGATCATTGATTAGAAATGAGATGTGAAGAGAGAGAGAGAAAGAAAGAATAAAGAGCAGAGAAAATAATTTCTGTGATACACAGCAAGAAAGAAAAATCAGAATACAAAGTGACAAAAGAGAGAACCAATCTCTGTGGAAAACAATCACAGAGAAGAGAAGAGAGAGGAGGGAGAGAAAGAAAATAGAGAGCAGACAGAAAAAAATCCCAAAGATGAACAGCGAGAGAACCACGTCCAAGGTTCAATAGGAATAGAGAATAATGCAATAATGCAACCTGGCACAGAGAGAGGAGGAGAATAGGGCAAGCGAGAGATAAACCCCGAGTCTGGCCCCAAAGCCCGCACCTTGTAAACATCGCCGTAAGTCCCGCTCCCGATGCGCTGGATGAGTTCGTATTCATCCTGCGGGTTTCGGCGGCTGATATCCGACGCGAGGGCCGCTGCCGCCGCCGCCGCCCCGCCGCCGCCGCCCGCCATCACGCCCCGCCGCCGCCGCCGCTCCCACCACGCCCGGAAAGCTTTACGAAAGTCCTCGAAGCTCAAGAAGGCTCTCTGGCCCTCGTCCTTGCGCTGTTCCCGTGTTCAATTGACTGTTCCGCTGTTCAGGAACGGGATGGATGGACGGAACGAGCGGGATAGCGGAACGGAACGCTGGACAGGGGGTACGGAACGGGGTGACGTTCGAAATCAAAGGAATTGGGGGGTATTAGGGTGTCAAATTTTGAAAATTGGTTAATGTACTGGTTTGCATTACGTGTATTGGTTTGTGCAATTTTGGGCTTTTGGATTCATTTACTCTTCTTTCAAATATGCATCGTTTATGGACAAAAAACATAATGACCCTGCGCATCCATATCAGTGTCAGTATCTCAAAAATGCTAGTGAAAATGATTACACCGCCTTGAAATAAAAGAAATGTCAAGATTCAGTCTATATAATACACACACATAATTGCAATAAGGCATCTGGAATACATGCAATCTTGAACGCGAGGCCTTAAGTTTCATCATCAAATCGCTTCCCGTTCATCCTTATTTCGTGTAAAATGGCTAATATCCGCCGCCTTGTCATCTTCGGAGCTACAGGGAACACAGGTCTTTGTTGTACCGAGGCTGCCGTCCAGCTGGGTGAGTGAATTAGAGCCAAATATTCTATAGAATAAAAGAAATTTAAGGATAATTTCCCGCCAGGCACATCGTCTGTCGTGTTTGTGTGTTTGGTTGTTTTCGTTGTTTCTCTGCGGCGTCGGGGGGGCGCTTATCTCACGCCGGCTTTTATCCGGGACATTTCGAGAGCAAGGAAGAGCTCGACAGAAAGGAAATCGAGTAAGGATAAAGCGAGAGGAGGAGGAGAAAGAGAGAGAAAAAGGAAGTGTAGTGAAAGGCTCGTTATTTAACAAGGATATGACGCCCATGTCTGCCTGCACGTACACCGGCAGACTCGATAAAACATTAATTCTTTCTCTGCTCGTTTTCAGTCACTAATTGACATCAGTCCCCGCTCATTGCTGAGGTTAATTACTATTCTATTAAGGAATTTTTAAGAATCTAATCAATCGCTTTTTCTTAAATTTGTTACTCGTAGGTTATTAGGATCTATTTTTCTCTTCCTCTTAAGATTAGATTAAGTTAAGTTAGGTTAGGTCATATGCACACGTATAGGTCAGGTCAGGTCATATATGTACACGTATGCCAATAGAATACATATAACAACGTTAAATACAAAACAAAATATAAAGTTGATCTTTACGGGATGGACACACAAAGCTAGAGCAAATAAAAGTTCATATTCTTGTATAGGACAAAAAGGTACAGGTCCAGTTCCATACAGCCATCGTTACAAGAAATAATCAGTCATGACGTGAATGGTAATGAATGGTCAAAGCTGAAAACTTGGATTCTTGAAACCATTTTGTGACGGAGTTGGACAGCCTCTGAGTGTGCATCTGTATTGTACAGAATTACCAATTTGGCAGAATAAAGTTTATATAAAAAAAAAAAAAAAATTATACCACAATTCTTTCAGTTGTTGCAAATAATGTAAAACAAATAAAATAACTTGCAGCAAGCAGGACATGTTCACTTTTCAAATTTTGCCAATTTTGGCAGCATGCATACAAATATATTTTGCACAGCAATAGCTCACAAACCCTGTCGTATGTTGTCACAAGATAGAGCATATTGACCTCCCATATAATTTCTCATCAAGAAAAGAACCTAATCTGAGACCTATCTTGCCAAATATCCAGGAAAGAAGTTTGTTGGCCTTTGGCAGAGCACAGAGAACGTGGATTCGCTTCATTGTCTTGTATCAAACAATTACCTGGATAACCTTTAGGCAATTCTTTATAGTACGGATGGAACTCGATGTCACAAACTTTGTCAAAATTACCGTGACTGGTGCCAGAAGAGGGTCGAAGGGTGTCACTGCTCCCTCCTCCCCCAAGCAAACATTGTCTTCACCTCAGTATGCTCGGCATGATAGAGCAAAATTCTAATATTTACTACAGAGTAAGCTCAGAATCTAATAAAAGCCATTTGAAAGGTTGATAATTGTATAATTTGTTTTTAGCAAAGAATTATTTAAAGAATGTATATTAACAAGAATGAGCATTCAGTAGAAGTCTGTAGAGACAAGAAATAATTTAGTTTTATCCATCCAAACATATGGTAGAGGTTTGTTGACCTTTACCAGAGCACCAAATTCCCAGAGGCTAAAGTGAGTGCTTGGTTCCATAAACCACAGTTTATTTATCAGGTAAAACCACTTTTTTATTCTTTACTTTTGATAACTGGCGAAGGAATAACTGTGCGAGAATTTATCAATTCTTATTCCATCCAATGTTTACCATGTATGTCTTATACTACATTCTTCGGATAATTTTTTCCTTGATTCTGAACTCTGTGGTTACAAGTTGCAATGCCTTGGTGATATCTTTGAGTATATTTGAGTATAGGGTAAGGATTTTGTCATCATGGAAGATTAAAAGAGAGTAGGGTTAATTTACTACCTTGGCAATATTGAGATGAATTTGAAAAAAATATATATGTGTGTGCGTGTATATATATCTATCTATCTATATATATGTATATATTTATGTATATATATATATATATATATATATATATATATATATATATATACATATACTTATACTTATACTTATACTTATACATATACATATACATATACATGTACATGTACATGTACATGTATATGTACATGTAATGTACATGTACATGTACATATATATATATACATATACACATACGCATACACATACGCATACACATACACATACACATACACATACACATATATATTTATATATATATCTATATATATAATATATATATATATTATATATTTCTGCATATATAAAGGAATCTTGAGTTTCTAAGAATATAATAAAATATACAAACAATTCTATTCATAATTTATTAAGCTTTGTAGATTTATTCATAACCTAAAAATGTTATAAATCAGCCAGTCCTGTACATTGTATAAGAAACTAGAAGGTCTCATAATAATGGACTGTAATATATGCTCCTGCCTCACCAGGGTTCATCCCAACCAAGTCTCTCCTTAATATTTCTTATCCTGACATGACCAGACCTAACCATTCTTAACCTACACTCCAAAATTATTATTGATAAAAGTCCTTTATTAACACCAAGATAAACAAGAAGTTTAAGATAGGAAAGAATGAAGTTCAGGTATAAGAATAAAGTGATCTGTATGTGGTAGTAGCATTCAGCAAATATGGAGTAATTTCCAGAGACTATGCAAGGGGTAGGGAGTAAGTTATTTGTACATTTCTTTAAAGATAAATTTAATTTAGGTGAATATTTTTATCTGCTGTGTGTGGGGATGTGGATAAAGTCTGTGTGTGTGTGAGAGTTTGTATGTGTGTGTGTGTGTTTGTATGCATGTGTGGGTGGAATGAGTGTGCGTTTGTTGTATGCATGTGTGGGTGTCAGTAAGTGTGTGTTGTTTGTATGCATGTGTGTAAGTGTCAGTGTGAATTAGTATGTATGTGTGTGGGTGAGAGTGTGAGTTTGTATGTATGTGTGTGTGGGTGTAACTGGGAATGTGTTTTTGTGGGTGTAACTGGGAATGTGAAGTTTGTATGTATGTACTGTATGTGTGTGGGAGTGATTTTTTTTTAAAATACTGTATGCATGTGTGAGGGTGTTTAATTTTATGTATGTGTGTGTTGTGGGGGGGGGTGATGATTATGAGTGTATGTATGAGTGGGTGGGTGTGTCTTTATCAGTGGCATGTCTGTCTGTCTGTGGATATGTGAGTTTGTGTGAGTGTATTGGTGTTTGTGAGTGTGAGTGTGAGTGTTTGTGTGTGGTGTGTGTGTGTTGTGTGTGTAAAGGTTATACCCTAATTGTTTATGTGACTATTCACTTATCAGTTGATGATTGTACCTAAAATAAGTAAAACCGAATCAACGAAGTCTCACAATATCTAAGACTTTCTCTTTGACACATACAATTTCACCTAATGGGTTTCTCTTTTAGGTTGTCATTATGGTGAAAGCTAAAGGCAGTTTGCTTTAGAGAGTCCGTATGTCTTTTCACAAATAATGAAATGTAGGTTTTTCCTTACACACAGATTGAATGGTTATTTTTTATCAGTAATATGTGATGTTTGTATTAATTTTGCTCTATTAACTGTGAGTTAATTGGAGCAACAGATTTTTTTACTATATTGTCATTCATGAAATACTTATTTGAATTGGATTGCATTTTTGAAATTGTTATATGCAGTCTTTTCCCCACATTTTCTGTCTGCTGTCATCCAAAAGAAACAGATATTTTACCAGTTCTTTTCTCTCCTCTTTTTCATTTATCATTGGTGTGGGTGTTAGAAGTCTTCCTACACTTTCTTAATACATCTCTTACAACAATTCCTTCAACTTTTACAGGTGAAACCCACCTCACTCTATTAGGAACATGATTCGCAGTGCAAGTGTCCGTTTGTTTCGCTCGGCTTGGGTAAGCGTCCCCAGCCGTTGCTTTTCTTCAACAAGCCAGATGTTGTCGTAGAAAAGTTAACAGGTGATCATGAGGGAGTTACAGTATTTGGGTTCAACCGGCCAGCTGCCAAGAATGCAATTAGTAAGAACTTGCTGAAGGAGTTCATGGAGGCAATTGAGGATGTTCGTCACAGCCGCGATGTAAGAGTGGTTGTTCTGCGGTCTCTGTGCCAGGCATATTCTGTGCTGGTGCTGACTTGAAGGAGAGAGCCAAAATGAAGCCAGAAGAGGTTGGTCCCTTTGTTGCTAAAGCCCGTAGCTGCATCTCGGATATTGAAAACCTGCCCATGCCTGTGATTGTTGCTCTGGATGGTGCTGCACTCGGAGGAGGACTTGAAATGGCACTTGCCTGTGACCTTCGCGTTGCTGCAGACACAGCAAAAATGGGCCTAGTGGAAACAAAACTGGCTATCATACCCGGTGCTGGAGGAACCCAGCGACTTCCTCGCATTATTGGCACTGCAAAGGCAAAGGAACTGATTTTCACAGCTGCAATACTCAACGGCAAACAAGCTGCTGAAATAGGCCTTGTGAATCATGTGACCCCCAGAATGACACAGGAGATGCTGCATACCACAAGGCCCTGGATCTGGCACAAAAAATCCCCCCAATGGCCTATTGGTGTCAAGATGGCCAAGACTGCCATCTCACGAGGGATGGAGGTTGACCTTGGCACTGGCTTGTCCATTGAGGAGGCTTGTTATGCCCAAGTCATCCCAACAAAAGACAGGATTGAGGGTCTTACGGCCTTCAGAGAAAAGAGGAAACCAGACTATAAGGGAGAATAATGAGGGAATTGAGGGCAATGCAATAGTTCTGTAATACTAATTCTTCTCAAAAGAGCATGAACTAATGGTTGAGACTTTGTAGTTCAAATTTCTATATATTTTTTCTTTTTAGATCCTGTTAGTAAAATTTCTTAAATGTGGATAGAAGTGTTTCATATGTTTTGGATATTTACTTGATAAAGCATATGTAGTTGTCTGAGATTTTCAGAACATAAGTGTCATTATAATTGTTTTACTAACTCAAATTTGATGCATTTTCTGACCATAATATTGAGTGTAGAATTAGTGTTTA